CCCTCCATCCACACACACACACACAAACACACACCAACTCTCAGCAAGCACCAGACGATTCCACTTGGAACAATTCAGCCAGGCTACTCAATAGGCCTGGCCTTCACTATTGTTTTATCGTATTCCCCACAGACACAGGCGCCCGTCGCGGGTCGATACTTCTCTACACACTCATTTCTGCTCAATGCCCTGCTACATGGAAGCCGCTAGCTGCTCGCTGACAGTGCATTGTGTTTTACATTTTACGCTCCTGTCAAACATTTTGACTAGTTATATATATATATAGGAGGCATCATCAATAACTGGAAAATAAATCATAATATTCTATAGCCATTGATTCGCACGTTTCACGTCATAAAATCGCGCGCATAGAATGCATCATTACTGTGATCTCAAATGTAATTAATACGTCTCGACAATATTCAATCAGCCAAGCGTTAAATCATATTACCTTTACTAAACAAAGAGGCCAAGGGAATACTTGTGGCACAAGATCCCCCCACCCCCACAGTCCCCTACTCTTTCTCCCCCTCCCCCCTTCCCCACGCCTTCTGACACTCAAACATTCAAACTTCGGCCCACTAAGCTGAAACAGGGAACTGATGGTGTACTGTGTTCAAACGACTATGTGCGTGTTATGGCTATGCAAATAACACAATACTATTCCCCTAATCCTAAAGGGCGCTTGTGCTTGGGAACAGGAAACGTTACTGTGTCCTACTGAGGGTACCCGAACTATTCACATTCCTGTGATAAGAAGCTTTGTTGGCTTTGAGAATACATCACTCACACACGCATGCTCGCACACACACACACACACACACACACACACACACACACAATCACAGCCTCCCCTCAACTTTTGACAACGAAGTGCAAGCAGCACTTTCTCGCAAGGCGGGCCGTTAACTCAGAATATAAATATCCAGAGATACGCCACGGACGACCCTGGTTCGAATCCACAACGATGTGACCTTGAACCTAGCTCGCTTGAAGAGTCACCATGTCTTTGCGGCGACACAGAGAACGTATCGCCTCTTACAACAGACTAACATTATATAAAGACAGGGGTATAAAACCCACATACTTCTTATTTCAAAGCATTGATTCGCCAAATTAAATTGGTCCATTGGACTGAAAGCTTGTGATACCAAAGCAAATGAAAGAGGGCATACAAAAATCACACTCTTTTTCACCAATATTTACGCTTTGAGTATAAGTCATGAAAAATAACAGAAGAAACAGTGGCGGTCATTTTGGAGGCAGGCGCTACCCTTTGACTTCAGCTAGGACACTTGGCAGAGAAGGAAGTCTAAGAAAGGTAGGGGGCAATAAAGGCCTTATCCACACAAAAGACAAACAAACAGGTGAGCCAAAAAACTATAAACGAAATCCCTAACAAATCAAAAGAAAAACCCATCGAAATGCTGAAATATTCAAAGCAACAGCAGGTCAACGTATCGACCCAAGGCTTCAACAGTAGCTCAACAGGGAGTCGTGGCAGAAAGGTTTCTGCGATCCATATATACATATCATTGTTTACGCTTATTGCCCTACCCTCTAGGCATTGTCCACACGTGCACTACTAGGCTAGACTACCAGAGCGAACATGCACGCACACGCACACCATATACAATACTTCTCAGCCACTCCCTCCCCCATCCCTACCCTATATCTCTCTCCCTCTCTCTCTCTCTCTCTCTCAAACACACACACACACACACACACACACACACACACACACACACACACGATACATACATACATACATACAATTAAACAGGTACAAAATGGAAAAACAGTGCGGTATAAAACTATTTTCCCTAAAACACTCCAGCCTTGTTCCATGTAAGTAACAGTTGTCACAGAACCATGACACAATTCGCAAAATAAACTATTGAGTGCCAAAAGACAGTAGAAAATATATTAAACGGTTTAAGGAATAGAGGTAAATCAATCGATCAACAATCCACAGTAAAGAATTAATTAATGAAGAGGGGGATTACCATAGTAAGGGACAAACGAACGTTATGTTGCAAAAGAGAAGAAAACCCTCGCAATGATGGTCATACTGTGCTAAAAAAATATAACGTTAAAAAAAGATTGACGTACAGAAAGAACACTTGGGGGGGGGGGGGGGGAAAAAAAAGGGGGGGGGGGGGGGGAGATAAAAAAAATTAAGACCTGTCAGTAGCGCAATGTAATTACAAGCACGACTAAATGAATGCAGGAATGAAATAATTACCAAATTAAAAAAAGAAAAGAATAGAAAATATAAAGAAAAGTTTTTTTCAGACTCACTATTGTACG